CCGCGCTTGTTAGCTGGTTTAGATCATATCTGTCTGAAAGATCCGTGAGAGTAAGGATTGGTTCGTCACATTCGGAGCCGTTTATGATTCCTTCTGGCGTACCGCAAGGGAGTTATCTTGGACCGCTGCTTTTCTCATTATTCATAAAGGACATTGCCTTTGTGTTGCCACGTGGACAGCGAATATTCTATGCCGACGAAGTTAAGATCTTTATGATCATCACGTGCACTGAGGATTGCCTGGAGTTGCAGAGGTTATTAGAATTGTTCGAGGACTGGAGCAAGCGAAACCTACTCGATTTATGCATAGCCAAATGCAACACAATATCATTCAGCAGGAAGCGGCAACCAATCAATTTCAACTACAGCATGTGTGGACAAACTCTCGAGCGCTTGTATCAGGTTAGGGATCTCGGTGTGATATTGGACTGCGAACTCACTTTCCGACCGCATTACGAAGACGTGATTGCAAAAGCCAATAAACAGTTCGGCTTCATGTTTAAGATTGCTGATGGATTTCGTGATCCTCTCTGCCTGAAGTCCCTTTTCTGTGCACTGGTTCGATCTATTTTGGAATCTTCCGTGCTGGTATGGTGCCCGTACAACATAAACTGGATTGACCTATCGAGGCGGTACAGAAAAAGTTTGTGCGCCTCGCTCTTCGGCACTTACCCTGGCGTGATTCGTCAAATCTTCCTCCATATGAACATCGTTGTATGCTGTTAGGCATCTATACTCTGGAGAAGCGAACGTCCAATTTGCAAGCCATCTTCGTCGCTAAGGTAATGACCAATGAAATCGATGCCCCAGATATTCTTGCTGAATTGCACGTATATGCGCCGCAAAGATCTTTGAGGCAACGTAATTTCCTGCACCTTGCTACCCGGAACAGCCGTTATGGTCAACACGATCCTATCAGGATAATGCCTTCTCGGTTTAACGATGTTAGTGGACAATTTGACTTCAATGTTTCTGCTGCCACTTTTCAACGCCGCCTCAATGCACAGCGGTGAGTATCTGTCCAATCACTGCTACTTCGAAAGTGTGTATTACCTGCTTTTTTTTATTACATGGTCCTTCTACAACACTACGCCGAGTTTCCAACCCTCCGACGCGTGAGCTGCGACGCATTTGCAGATTGTTGTGTTTAATTATTTTAGATCATTGACTTAGCTTTTAATATGTTTGTCACTTGTATTCATTTGTATTCAACGTATTCTGTGTATTGACTATTTGTAATTTTATTTATTGTTATATGTATGAAAAGACATGGAGTTTTGGCGGGGGGTCTCACTCTCTCACTCTCTCACTCTCCAACGATGATTCTTTGCTGGATTTTCCTTCTTCTGAGGCGATGAATACCTCAGGTGGTGATGGGTCCGCCACCAATAAGTACACCGCAGCGTATCGTAAACGATCTCCACAGCCACCTTCTCCGCCAGCTCTTCCATTGCCCCCTGCTCCAACCGTTCCCCGGATTCCCCGTGGGTTGTTTTCTTTCCACGCAAACAAAAGGCTTTGAATGTTCATCAGATTTCGAAGGACCTGCTTAAACATTTTTCAGCCGTGACTGAGATTTTGAAAGTAAGACCAAATAAACTACGTGTTACCGTTAGCGATAGTGTGCAGGCAAACAAAATTGTTCTATTTGAGCTTTTGTTGTTGGAATATCGAGTGTATATTCCAAGTAAAGAAGTTGAAATCGAGGGAGTTGTTACCGAAGCGAGTATAACTCGCGATGACTTCCTGAAAGACGGGGTTGGTGTCTTCGAGAACCCTCACCTCCCGAAAATTAAAATACTAGACTGCATTCAAATGCACTCAGTGTCCCTCGTTGGAACGAAGGAAACTTACACGCTTTCGGACTAGTTTCGTGTGACCTTCGCCGGGTCAGTACTACCAGATTACGTCGCGATAGGGATGATCCGATTACCTGTGCGCTTGTTTGTATCAAAGGTAATGAACTGCACAAAATGTAAGCGACTAGGGCACACTGCGGCTTTCTGTGTTAACAAGCCACGCTGTGATCAATGTGGGGAGAAACATACGGAGGGTTCTTGTCGTGCCTCCCCAAAATTTGGAAATTCCGCATGTTCTCACTGATTGTCCCAGCTACAAACAGCAGGGAGAAAAACACCAGCGGTCTTTGAAGGCTCGCGGGCCGCGTTCCTTCGCGGAAATCCTAAGATCAGTTACTCCATCTTCCCGAGTTCCCCCGTGTAGTAACCCTCGGTTGATGACCAGGCCTCTGACCCTAATGTTGGCGAGGGAAGTCATTTAGTTTTCAAAGCCCCACCTAGGAAGTCGATCCAAAATTATCACGCAACAGCCTCAGGAGGCCTCGAGTCATCTTGAAGAAACCAGGAAGTAGCGGTAATATTCCAAAACCCCTTTCACCCGGGTTTCAAACTATTTGATGTTGATAGGGACTTTCCGTGGATTCCGGGTTCTTCCAAGGTGCCTGATCTTCCAGTTCCACACCCAGGACAACATGAGGCCATGTTCATTATCGAAATATTGAATGTGTCTAACTCCATGAGGAACATTATTGTTTTGATGATTCCAACGTTGAATACTCTTTTGAAGCAACTAGCTTCTAAATGGTCAATGCTTTCGTCGATCATCAACTTTGACGTTTAAAATTACTAGCGTTTGAGAGTGTGATAGGGATTTGTTTGCTCGTGTATCAATTTTAGTTTCTGTTCTCTCATCGCTGTCCCTTCCCAAGCCCCTCTTTTTATGTTTCGTTGCAGTTGTAAACAACCATCAGTCATCTCGAGAGAGATCAAGAGCACTTTCCCGTCACTTCACTGCATCTCCCATGGTCAATCTTCGAAAAACAGCCAGTAAACGGAGATAAATATATCAATCGCATCCTTGTGTACCTTTTCCTTGATCCCTTCCCTACCTTTTAATAGATTGTGGCCCGTAACCTCGAGTAAGCCGCGAGTATTCGGATACCTCTTGTACTAATTCTATTTTTAAGAAACATTGTAATAAGTAAACTGAATTTCGGCTCCGTAAAGCTTTCACATTTGAGCCTTGATAAAGAAATGAATCTACAAAAAACAGATTACAGATTTCAGTACCAAGCACTGACATTATCAGACGGTACCTATCCTAGTTGGAGAAATATACTTTGGAACGGCTTATAATTTCCCGGATTTTTTGCTGATGGGGGCAGGGCATAGGAAGCCGATCCATAGCAAAATTCTCCAAGTAGGAAGGACTAACTATGCTAATCTTAAAACACAAAATGTAGGTGCCGTCCTGTTTTTTCAGTGTAAGATACTGATATTTTTAAACTGTGATAGATAGGGAAATCCCTTTTTTGCATGTGCGTCCACAAAACGCATGAAATCTTAAAAACAGCGGTGTTAAGTAAAATTGTTTTGCTCAATCTGTAGAAATAGAAGTACCGATACAAATATATGGCTAATAGAGATATACGTGATAAAATACGGAATGTCGATAAAATAGGTGCAAAATTGTGCACTCCGTGTGCATTTTTTAGCGTTCTGAAGGTGAGTCGCTGTGCAAATCTTAATTTTGATCAATCTCATTACCACTTCAAAATTTAAAGAGCACAAATTTGGTTTTCTGAAGGGATGAGCGAGAGTAGTGAGTGATCGAGCTGTGCTGGTGGTTCTTGTGAAGATTTTATCTATTTTTCAACTCAACACGGTTTTTTGGACTGTAAGCTGCTTTATCAATTACCACTGAAGATCAAACATATGGAATTCTACGCTCTGGATTAGCCACAACACCACCTTTAAATGATCAATTTTTGGCGAAATTTGTGATTGGATTCTATCGACCGGTAGCCATTGCTGTTATTCGTTCCTCGGGTTTGGTTCATCCGTCGTTCGTGTTCGTATAGTTGGAACTCACAACGTGTTCATCTAGCCTTTCTGTTAATCACGTCAGCAAAACAAACCAATTCTATTATGGTGAAAGGCAAAACAAACTCTTCCCTTCCCCTGGGGAAAGGCAATGACGGAAATGTGCACAAACGATCGCGAGAGGACCTGGACAAAACTGAAGATCAAGTAGAAAACTTTAATGATCTTCTAGCCCGTATGCAGGACATGTTCGAGAACACCAACGCGAAAATTGATTCGTGCAAGAAGGATCTGCAAGTGGAAATTTCGACGCTACGTGAAGATGTTCAGCTGTTGAAGTCGGAGTGCACCAGTGAAATTAACAGGCTCTCTTCATCAGTTACCAAAATGCGCGCTGATGTCCGGCAGAACTACGACCGAATCCGAGCTGTTGAAAAGTGTAACGATCTGCTGCTAGCTGGTATTCCATACGCTGCAAACGAGGACGTGAATGAGATCTCAAGAAGGATTGCGGTCGCTCTTGGATATGGTGAACAAAACATGCCATTGATCTACGCTAAACGTTTGGCCAGAGGAAAAATCGTTATCGGTGCTACTCCTCCAATAGCACTGCAATTTGCTTTCAAGCTGGCTCGAGATGACTTTTTTCGTCGGTATTTCTCTGTGCGCAACCTATCATTGACGTTGGGTTCAATGTTGATAAACGAATCTACCTCAATCAAAATCTACCAGAAGAAGCTCGGAAAATCAAGGGTAAAGCTATCAGTCTGCGACGTTCGGGAAAATTGCATGCCGTATTTACCAAGGATGGATGTGTGTTCGTCAAGCCTGCGGTGGATGCTGAGGCAGTTTTGGTGCGTTCATTGGAGGATCTGTCCGAGCTATCCTAAAAGTTATACCTTTCCTTCAAAGCTTCCAAAACATTTCCTTGGTTCCATTCCTATGTATATCCGTCTCTTCTTCCTTTCTAAAAGTCAAAAGGGGATGGGGGGAATTGTTGCTGTTATCACTGTTGCTGCTTGATCTGGTTCCTGGTTGCTGCGGATACTGCTGTATTACCGAGAACAGTATTACTTTTTCTTCGTGGTTCTCGCGCTATGAAGAACTGTTCGCAAAGGATGCTTCCCGGATGGATGACCAAGCAAAAGTGAGGTTATTGATGCGGAAACTTGGCATCGCGGAGCACGAGCGCTATTGCAGCTTCATACTGCCGAAGACATCCAAGGATTTCACCTTCGAAGAGACCGTAGGTAAGCTCAAAGGCCTATTTGGAGCAGCGGAATCGATCATCAGCAAACGCTATCGATGCCTCCAAGTAGCGAAAGGACCGACCGAGGATTTCGTTACCTACACCTGCCGAATCAATAAAACATGCGTTGAGTTCGAGCTGGGAAATCTCTCGGAAGAGCAATTTAAGGCTTTGATTTTCGTCTGCGGTTTGAAGTCGGAGTCCGATGCAGAGATCCGAACCCGATTGTTGGCGCGCATCGAGGAGAAGACGGATATCACTCTCGAGCAGTTGTCTTCCGAATGCCAACGCCTCTTGAATCTTCGGCATGACACTGCGATGATCGAGGGATCCAGAAGCGTAGTGAACGCCATCAAGCAGCGGTTCCGGAAGCAGCAACGATCGCGGTACGAGAATTTTGGTGCATCATCTTCGTCGCGTAGTGCAGTGTGTGAAAAAAAAGTGTCACCAAGTCCCTGTTGGAAGTGCGGAGCTATGCACTACATAAGGGACTGTGGATATAAAGACCACAAGTGCGCGAAGTGTACCCAATACGGACACAAAGAAGGGTACTGCGAAAGTGAAACAAAGTCCCCACGGAAGCGGGTGAAGAGACGAACGAGAACAGTGACTGTGGACACGAAGACTGTACAAGTCGCTGTAAACAATGTGAGTGGAAGAAGAAAGTTTGTTCCTGTGTTTTTGAACGGGGTTTCGGTCCGACTACAGTTCGACTCTGCTTCGGACATCACCGTAGTACCAACTGAGACCTGGAAGCAGTTAGGAAAACCACCAACCAGACCACCGTCAGTGAACGGGAAAACCGCATCGGGCGATCCTCTGAAGCTACTTTCGGAGTTCGATTGCTCGATCACCGTCAATGACGTAACGCAAGTGGGATCGATCTACGTTGTCGCGCAAGATCTGCACATCCTGGGTTTGGATTTGGTGGAAGCATTCCAACTCGACTCCGTTCCGATGAACGTCTTCTGTCGACAGGTAAACAACTCCTCTTCCTCCAACGTCGAGCGGCTCAAGGCCACCTATCCGCAAGTATTCAGCACCAGTCTCGGACGGTGCACCAAAGCAACAGTGAAGCTCGACCTCAAGCCAGGACAAAGACCAGCGTTTCGTCCAAAACGTCCCGTGGCGTACGCCATGTACCAGATTGTCGATGATGAACTGGACCGTCTCGAGCGCTTGCAGATCATCACACCAATCGACTACTCAGAATGGGCTGCTCCGATTGTAGTCGTTCGGAAGTCGAACGGCAGTATCCGAATTTGCGGTGATTACTCGACGGGATTGAACGACGCTCTCCAACCACACAAATACCCGTTGCCATTGCCGCAAGACATCTTCGTCAAACTTGCCAACTGCAAGGTATTCAGCATCATCGACATGTCGGAATCGTACCTGCAACTTGAAGTCGACGAACCAACGAGTAAGCTCCTCGCCATCAACACCCACCGTGGCATCTACCAAGTCAACCGACTGGCACCCGGAGTAAAAGCTGCGCCGGGAGCGTTCCAACAACTCGTTGACACCATGTTGGCGGGTCTAAAGCACACTTGCGGTTACATCGATGACATCGTAGTGGGCGGAGAAGATGAGGAACAGCATTGGCGAAACCTGAACGCACTTTTCCAGCGTCTGCAAGAGTTCGGGTTCACAGTCCGGTTCGAGAAGTGCTCCTTCGGACGTCAGCAGATTAAAAATCTTGGACACTTACTCGACCACCATGGAGTTCGTCCCGATCCAGCCAAGATCGAAGCCATAAAGCTCATGCCAGCACCCACGGACGTGTCGGGAGTTCGGTCGTTTCTCGGAGCCGTAAACTTCTACGGGAAATCCGTACCGAATATGCGAGCTCTGCGCTATTCACTGGACGAACTGCTGAAGACGAGAGTCAAATTCGTTTGGACGGCGGAGTGTCAGAAGACGATCGATAAGTTCAAAACCATTTTATCGTCGGACTTGCTCTTGACCCATTACAATCCCAAGCAGGAGATCACGTCATCAATCGGCCTGGGAGCGACCATCAGTCACCGTTTTCCCGATGGTACAATCAAAGTCGTCCAGCATGCTTCGAGAGCCTTGGCACCGGCCGAGCGCAACTACAGTCAAACGGACCATGAAGGATTGGCCATCATTTATGCGGTAACCAAGTTCCACCGCATGATATTCGGACGCAAGTTCCTCCTCCAAACCGACCATCAACCACTACTACGCATTTTCGGGAGCAAGAAGGGCATCCCGGTGTATACTGCCAACCGTCTGCAACGCTAGGCTCTGACGCTGTTGATGTACGACTTCGTCATGGAGTACGTGGCCACGGACAAATTCGGTCACGCCGACATTCTCTCTCGTCTCATCAACCACCATGCGAAACCCGACGAAGATTTCGTGATTGCTTCCGTCTCCTTGGAGAGTGACATGAAGTCAGTAGTATGTGAGTCTTTTAACGTGTTTCCTTTGAGTTTTAACACAGTACAACAAAGCACCAAGACGGATCCGGTGCTCAAGAAGGTCCACCGATACGTCCAGGTAGGCTGGCCAAATTCCCTGGCCAGTGACGCTAATCGAGAACTTCTTCGCTTTCACCTTCGTCGTGAATCACTCACCACGGTACAGGGCTGCATTCTCTTCGGCGAAAGGCTTGTTATTCCGTCTCCTCTATGCAAGCGATGCCTCGAAGAACTCCACCGGGGGCACCCCGGAATCCAGCGGATGAAGGCTCTATCCCGCAGCTACGTTTATTGGCCATCGCTCGACAGTGAGATCGCCGATTACGTGAAGGCGTGTTCACCATGCGCCTTGACAGCAAAGTCACCAGCAGCAGCGACCCCTGTGCCCTGGCCCAAGCCTACACATCCTTGGCAACGTGTTCATGTGGACTACGTCGGTCCTATCGACGGCGACTACTATCTTCTCGCCGTGGATTCATTTTCGAAATGGCCGGAAGTCATCCGTACACGTCGCATCACGGCGTCTGCAACGATCAGCACCCTTCGCAGTATCTTTGCGCGCCTGGGGATGCTGGAAACGTTGGTGTCAGATAATGGCACCAAATTCACAAGCTCGGAATTCGCTCAGTTCTGCAAGACGAATGGAATCGACCACGTAACAACTGCACCGTTTCACCCACAATCAAACGGCCAAGCAGAGCGATTTGTCGATACGTTCAAGCGAGCGATCAAGAAGCTTGAAGAGGGGAGAAGTTCGACCGATGAAGCCTTGGATACGTTCTTGCTGGCTTACCGAAGCACACCTAACCGGTCAGCGCCAGAAGGTCTATCCCCGTCGGAGATCATGTTCGGACGACGTTTACGCACCTGTCTCGAACTGCTACGTCCATCACCAGAACGTCCACCACCGGAATCGTCACCGGCCGACCAGAAGAAGTCCAGTATGAGGTCCTTCAGTCCAAGTGATCTCGTCTACATCAAGATCTACAGCAAGAACACCTGGAACTGGGTTCCTGGAACGGTTATCGAAAGAGTAGGACGAGTGATGTACAACGTGTTGACCGATAGTCGTCGCTTAGTCCGATCGCACCTGAACCAGCTGAGGAGTAGAACGTCAGTCTGCTCGAATCAAGGTCCTGGATCCAGCCAGTCATCGAAGCATAAGCAACTTCCGCTGCAAGCTCTATTCGATACGTGGAATCCAGCAACTACGACTGCAAGCGACATTATTCGAACGCCAACGTTGTCTCCACCGGCTACCAGCACGGACATGTCGTCATCGTCCTCGTCTTCGAGTACCACATCTTCCAGCTTCGAATCGGCTGCTGCAAGCACACCAACGGTGCAGCCAAAAGTACAGCTACCAAGGCGTTCTTCGAGACTTAGAAGACCGCCCCAGAGGTTCAACCTGTATCATCGGTTCTAGAGAGGACATGTTGGGGCAACCGAAACAGAAGCGCTGGGAACACTGCCTGTGCCATAACGTTCCATCGCTTTCCTACTGGGCTCATCGTGGCTGTGCTGTAATACGATAGACGTCATCGCCAGCATAACCGGATACCGTCCTAAATTTAGGTTGCCCTTTTGATTGTCTAGTTAACCTTTTACCGCGATAGTCGCGTATTTTAATAAATGTAGTTTTTATCGTTTACGTGCGCGTTAATGTTATTTTACAGTGATCAACTATCACGGCCACCTCTGAACAACGCGTCGTAACACGTAGGAACTGGTAACATGTCTCACACTGAATTCATGTTTTTAGAGATAATGCATAATACTGCCAAGTTTCTACTGGGAATTTGTTATAACCCTCCTAGGACAGACTGCTCCGAAATCCTATTTGATAAATTATCTGATCTATCACTGCAGTATCAAAATGTATTACTATTGGGCGATTTCAACAATAACTTTAACACAACTGATACCCGATCTGAAAGATTTGAAAGTTGTCTAGATTTTTATGGCTTAAAGTGCATGAATACAATGAACACAATTTTTTTTCAGGAGGCAGTTCGTTAATTGATTTGTTTTTAACAAATAACCCAGAATTTGTTAAAAATTTTAACGAAGTCTCTGCACCTGGATTTTCGAAACATGATATCTTATTTTCATCAATAAAAATTAGCCGAACTGATGATGAATCAATCCGTACATTCCGTGACTATCGTAATTTGAACGTGTCGTCTCTTATGGCAGCTTTTGATAGGATCAACTGGAATCTTATTTTCAGTATAACTGATGCTGATTTGGCTGTAAATTTTTTAAATAATTTTGTTCCAGTTCGTGTTTCAAAGCCTTCAAAAAACCCTTGGTTTAGCGATGAAATTGCTCGTACAATTCTAGAGAGAAACATTGCTTATTGAATATGGATTTCTGATAGAACTCCTTCTAATCATCACCAATTTAAGCGTCTTCGGAACAGAGTTACTCATTTAATTAATACAGCAAAAGTTGAGTACATACCTGTTAATCTTACTTCCACGAATTTCAGCAAAGACTTATGGAAAAATCTGAAATATATTAACGTGGGTAAAAATCCACAACAAATCGAACAGTTTGATAATAGTCACGATGAAATCAATGAATATTTCAGTTCTAATTTTACTATTGACCATGAATTACCCCCTATTCCATTAGAAAATGAACATGGTTTTCAGCTCTCACCAATTTCTGATAATGACATTATTATAGCCGTAAATTCCATAAAATCTAGATGGGTTAGATGAAATTCCATTAATATTTATAAAGCTTTTATTTCCCAATATTTGTTCAATTTTATGTCATATATTTAACCTGATTATATCCTCTTCCAAATTTCCACAAGCTTGGAAATCGTCCAAAGTAATTCCGATCAAAAAGAAAGAAAGAAATGTTAATTTGTCTAATTTAAGGCCGATAAGTATTTTATGTGCCTTATCGAAGGTATTTGAAAGAATATTAAAAAACCAAATCCAAAGCCATATTGAAAGATACAATCTCATGCACCAGTTTCAATCTGGTTTTCACCGTGGGCACAGTACAACTTCTGCCTTTCTGAAAGTGCACGATGATATTCATTCGGTCATTGCTAAGAAAGGTGTAGCTTTTTTATTACTTATCGATTTCTCAAAAGCATTCGATAGAGTGTCACACACCAAGCTTTTAAATAAGTTATCTTCTCAATTTTCGTTTGCTCGTTCAGCTGTTAGTTTGATTCATTCATACCTTTTAAAGCGAACGCTGTTTTTGTGAATGGGACGTACTCCAAACAGATTCCTATTATGTCTGGCGTACCTCAAGGTTCAATGTTGGGTCCTCTGTTGTTTTCTTGTTTCATCAATGATCTACCATCCGTTTTAAAGTACTGTAGGATTCATATGTTCGCTGATGATGTACAACTTTACTTAGCCTTGGAAGGCGTACCTATGTCAGTTATGTCTGAATTTATAAATTCTGATTTGTACCATATTTATCAATGGTCGAACACTAATTTTTTGCCAGTGAATGCCTATCAAGAAATGTTAATAATAGTATCTTACCATCTTTGTTCTTAGGTACCGAAACATTAGATTATATTGAAAAGGCGCCCAATCTAGGATTTATCATCCAAAATAACCTTGAATGGGACAGTGACATTAATAGCCAGTGCAGTAAGGTTTTTGCTGGCTTACCACTTTTAAGGTTTTCATCCAGCATGCTCCTCCCTCATTTCATGTATGGTGATGTTTTTCTATTAAATGCATCTGCGCTACTCGCAGATAGACTTAGAATTGTGTTAAATTGTTGTGTTCGATATGTTTACAATTTATCAAGATTTTCTCGAGTTTCACATCTGCAGCATACACTAATAGGCTGTCCTTTCTATGAATTTATAAAATTGCGATCATGCTTAACATTGTTTAAAATCATAAATTTCCGTTCCCTTCATATTTGTTTCAAAAACTTACTGCTTTCCAGAGTAATCGTAATAGAAACTTTGTGATACTGCGATACAATTCTTCACATTACGCCAATACTTTGTTTGTCAGGAGCGTTGGGTTTTGGGATCAATTGCCTAACGAAATCAAGAATATCAATAGTGTGGGTGAATTTCAGCGGGAGTGTGTTAGTGATGGTTTAACAGGAGGAATCAACAAAATTAATAGGACTTTGAATTAGGTTAAGAATTGCAAGTAGTGTAAGCAAACTGATGAATTCGATGAACTATAACTAAGTGTAGCACCTAAAAAGGAGAATTCCTTACGCTACAATGATTTGTTTCAATAAATAAATAGATAAAAATAAAATATCAGCTCTCACAAAACACACAACAATGATCAGATCTCACAATCTCACAAAACACAGTCCTGCAATGCAGTACACAAGGAGTTCCAATTTCATGAGTGATGTAACATCACCGTCCAAGATTTTTGCTCTAGAAATCTTGCATCACTTCAGCCATCATATGACGGCCATTATTGGTCGCTTCAAGAAAACCCTACTTTCGCATTTTTATGAATCTACTGTATTTTAAATCGATATAAAGAAAAATGAACGAGAATTTCACTAAACAGCTTAAAGTAGTCTACATCAACCATTTTGTTTTTAAATTCAAGCAAAACGCATTAACAACTTAAAGAAAGATGAAGAACCCTTCAGGCTTATCAATTGGAAAGCACGAACAATGTAAAATCATAATCAATGGAAAATAAAACGTAATTTTACTACTATACAGGCAATTCCTACAACAAAAAAACAGCCAATTTCTGAAAACCTTCTGCCCTGTATGAACCGGTCATCAAATCGTTTCGTTTCGTCATCCATGAACCACACCGTGGAAGTTTTCGATTTGCCAAACAGTTTTCCTCCACGTGCGCGCACTGCCAGCCATCGCTTTTCGCCCATGCCACGTCAGTCGGCGAAACGAAGCGGCAATTTGAGAAGCGGAAAATGCGATCCACGTACCATCCTACCCGCCTTCCTACCATCCGAGGGGGCTTCTCTATACTTTTGTTGCTTCGCCGTCCTATCTTCGAACACCGACCTAAACAACGGACGGAAAACACACGCGCTCGGCTTCTTCCTTCTAACGGAGCAGGGCAAGACAAAACTCAATAGATATGCATCATTTAGCATTCCCCATCAGAATATTTAACAAGTTAAGCACTTGTAAATCTTTGTAATAACAAATATTATTACGCCACTTGAGCCTTGAAGAAGATGGAACGAGCGGAACGAATTCCGTCCGATGATTTCTGCCTGATGATAATTTCGTAGAATCTTGTTAACGGTTTCCACTATTACTGTTGAAAAAAAAAATCAGTCCTTCAAGAACAAACCAGTTCTTTGATCACGTCCAAAAACGGAAGCTCCTGCAGTCGAGAAAAGAATGGAAAAAATATGTTGTGTCATGTGCGGATTAGGCTCTGCGCGCATCTCGGTCTCTCTGTTTTCCATCCAAAAATAAACCACCCCAAAGCAGTCAACTCGCCCCGTCTCAATGGAAGACCAATTGTTTGGTGTATTAATAACCATAAATGATCCTCTCAATTTTTCACATGGCCCTCTCAAAGAGTCTTTTATTCCCATTTCTGACAGTTGACTTCCCGCGCGGGCCTTCTCCAAGTCAGGATGCACCATCCAATCCATTCTCCAGCAGTCGGTAGATATGGAGGAAAAAAAAAACTGATCACGTTTCTCCGGCTTCAGCAGCAGCAGCATATGTGAGTGGCACTATGCATGAATGAATCTGTATTCTTTCGCTTGATTGCCTAATGCCACTTCTTCAATGTTTTAATACCGCTTAAGTCCACGTGATTGAGAGTACATATACAGTCAGTATTTTCTTTTCCATTTTTTCCCTGCTGTGTGTCTCTCTCCCTCTGTGGGCATGGTAGGTTGCAATGTTTGCTTTCTGCCGTCGAATGCCCTAAACAGTCAGATTCGGTTTCGTTGTTGGTTTTTCCTTTTTTTTCGTTTAATATATTTCTGACGTGTCTGGATAAAAATGATGAGTAATGAACTTGTCGGTAGGTGAAATGTGGTTTTCGGTTTGTGTAATGATTACGTTCTATCAATTTAGACTCTGACTGTGAGTCAATGCTTCCAAAATTAAGCATTAGGTGTTAAATTATGTTGGAAATGGTCAAATGTGAACAACCGCCTTCAATGGAAAGTCGGATGAGTGCAGTAGTTAACATATTACATTTGATTTTTTTTATCGGCTCCTAACACAAACCAAAACAAACGTCATGGTGGTTAATTATTCCATGAGTAACCAGTTTCGCAGACTGATTTTTGGGTGAAGGCATTTCGATCGACATGCGCTTCTCTAATACAGGCTGCACCAAATTTTTGGACAGCCATCTAGATTACTATGCGCTAATATCCAGATAGAAAGAAAGATGATGATGGTCCCACCTTTTACCCCTACAAAGGTTTGAGCTGGATGATTTATCTTTAAGATAA